TCGAGAAGCCACGAGCGGCATTGTCGGGGAGAGAGCAGGAGGTTTGATTGGAGCTAATTGGGTTTAGGGTCTTGGGTTTTGGGGTGTTCGGCTATCGCCAGCAGCTAGGCCGAGGACCAGCAAATTGGATTTACCCATGATTATTATTTCGGGCTTGTACTATACGGGCCCGAGAGAAAACCCTAAGGTTGAGGCCCAGTTAGAGTATCATCGATGTGCAGCATTAGTTCAATTGTAATTATAAGTGTGTGGTCTTGCAAGTACCGGTTGTCACGAGTGACACCAACTACCTAAGACGATGCATGCTGTAAACCTTTAGCAATTGAGCCTACGATCGTGCTACGATCGCGAATTTATGTCAAGCTCGATCTGATCATGTCGATGCAACTATTAGCATAGCAGCTCGCAGCATTCCCCGCGTGAGGCGAATGTTTTCGCAGGCACCCTGAAGCTCATCGGTCGAGACATGCTACGTCCTACTTGTTGCAAAAGCTAAGTAGCTTCAGCCATTGTAACATGTCATCATGACAAAAGTCGTGCGGATGGTCTATGGCCGGATCACAGCTGGAGCCCATCAGGCCTTCCACCCACAACTCTAAATCCGGAACATATTATAGGATCATAGGAAGATCGCCAGGGAGCCATGAATTGAATCAATGATTTAATTGTCAGTATGAACTAAGCTTCCGGGTGAACACCGAGCCTTCCCCGAACCCCCTTTCGAAGCAAGCCAGTAGATATATATATATATATATATATATATTTTTGCTAGATATATGGAACCAAACGTATAGGGGTTGTTCCTGCCTAAGGCCTAGGGGGATCTTCGGGTCTCTGTTTCTACGTATACTAGTGATCAGTTTCAAGCTTCCCTGTCGACTCCTGTATCCTACCCGGAGGATCCAAAGCTAAGGACCCCAGCGGAGAACTTGATGCAACCATCAAGCGGCACCCCATAGGCCATAGCGTAGAAGCCTTAATTAGGGAAGGTTGCAACAGAGCACAGCACAAGCTTTAAGACACATGTGTACTCAAACCCACAGCCGAGGCAGCTATCATCCACGATGAACGATCTCGCCGTTGTCGATGGCGTTGTAGAACCGCTCTTGGACTGCGAGTACGAAGCTTGGCTAAATACTCTCGCACGGCTGGTATCCTAGATCGACATTGATGTACAGTAAGACTGGCACGGTCTGTATGCTGCACTATCCATATAGATATCCCTGCCTGCAGGGAG